TCAGCAGAGGTCCAATGTTGCCCTTGCTTTTCCTCTGGCTCCCCACATATCTAAAAAAGGACTTTATTGTCCTTGATACTTGTAGCCAGCCTTGGCTTTCCTGGTTTGGGCTCTATAGGTCTGGACCAGTGCAGAATGTTCCTCCTTGGAGGTGGATCCCATCTTCCATCCTTTGTAGGTCTTTCTTTTTAGATGCAGGAGGTCTGCTAGTTCTCTGAAGAGCCAAGGGGGCTGATGTGCCCTTTTGCTGCCTTTCCTCCAAGATGGGATAAACTTAGCTTGTGCATCCAGGATCGCTCCCTTGAGGAGCAACCACTCATCCTGAACTCCCCTCCCCTTTGGGTCATGGTCCTTTAGGGCCTCACTGACAAGCCTCCTGAGCTTGTCAAAGTCAGCTTTCCTGAAGTCAAGGACTTCTGTATTGCTGACTGACTCGCCAGCTTTACAGCGGATGGTGAAGGTGATCAGCTCATGATCAATGTCACGCAGCTTCCCTTCGATCATTAGGTTGCTGATTAGGTCATCGCCCGTTACCAGTACCAGGTCGAGCAACGCTTTACCTCTTATCAAGCCGTAGACTTCCTGCATCAGATACAGCTCATCCACACATGAGAGAAAGCTTTGCGACCGCTTGGATCTGGACAAGCGCTCTTCCCACAAGATGTCAGGGTAGTTGAAGTCTCCCATGACAACCATGCACCGGGAGCATGCAGCTTCAGCCAATTCTCTGGTGAACTCCTGGTCAAGCTCTTGATCCTGGGTGGGAGGTCTGGAGTAGACTCCCACAATTGTGCCCCCTGTGCTGTGTTCCCCATGGATTTTAACCCACAGGGTCTCCAGTCATCCACCCTGGTCACCAATGTCAGCTTGCAGGGACAAGTAGCTTTCCTTGACATAGAGAGCTACACCCCCACCCCTTTTGTCCACTTGATCTTTCCTGTACAGGGTATAGCTGTCTATACCTGTGGTCCAGTCATGAGTGGAGTCCCACCAGGTCTCTGTTATCCCTATGACATCATAATTATTTGTGTTAAGCAGGAGGACAAGTTTGTCCTGTTCATTCCCGAGCTCCTGGCATTTGTGTACAGGCATGCAAGTGTCCTTTTGGGTTCCCTTGCCAAAATCCCTTTTGGGTTCCCTTGCCAGAATCCCTTTTGGGTTCTGTTGCCAGATCTCTGCCTACAGATCATTCCAGGGTTGGGGCAGGGGTGGGCTCCCTTAAGTGCCTTGGCCTTCTGGCTTTGCAAGGGTTGCTCAGCGGGCCAGCAGTCACGGTAGTCCCCCCATCCCCCTGCAGGCTTAGTTTAAAACCCGGTGGAGCAGGTCAGCCAGTCTGGCTGAGAAAAGCCTCCTCCCCAGTAGAGAGAGGTAGAGGCCATCCCTTCCCAGAAGTTCACTGCTTCTCTCACCAAAGGCCAGACTGTGGTCATGGAAGCCAAAGCCTTCCCAATGACACCAGCACCACAGTCTTTGGTTTTACTACCTCGATCCTCCTCTCCCTCCTCAGCCCGTAGCCCAAAACTGGAAGGATTGAGGAAAATACCACCTGCTCCCCCAACCCCTTAAGCCCCGCTCCCAAATCCCTGTAGTGCTTCATGACCCGGCTGGGATTTGTCATTTGTGCCCACATGGATAAGGAGCATAGGGTAGTGGTCAGTAGGCCAGAGGAGCTTAGAGTTCTTCTATGCAATGTCTCAGATATGGGCTCCTGGGAAGCAGCAGACTTCCCAGGCTAAGGGGTCGGGGTGGCAGATTGCCCCCTCAGGATGGAGTCTCCCACGACAAACACTTTGCATTTTGTCTTAGGGAGAGTGGGGGTGGTAGCTACAGTTGAGCCTGTGCTGCCTACAGGAGCTGGCAGCTTAGCAGTCTCTGCTGGGGCTGCAAGAGGTTCATACCTGTTGCAAAGCTCCAGCGGGGCAGGGACCTTGGTGAGGCGGGCCTTTGGGCCCCTGGCCACATTGGTCCAACCCTCTGGCTAGACAGAATGGGAGGTACCTGAGTTCTCCCTTGTCCTGGAAGGTGACTGTGGTCTACCCTCCGCCTCCAGGGGGAGATGACGACAGGACCCAGGGGCAGTGGGACCCAGGGGGAGCCAGCAGGAGCCAGCAACACGGCAGTCTGGCCCTGCCCCACCCCCAACCGAAAGTCTCTGCCTGCTGCAGCTTTGGACCTGCTCCAGCATCATGTGGCTACATCACTGGACCGCAGGAGTACGGGGCCCATGCCGGACCCCAAAGCCAGGAGAGAGATGGGGTTGTAGTATATATGCGTGTGTGTGTGTGTGTGCGTGTGCGTGAGAGAGAGAGAGAGACTGTGTGCATGTGCGTGTGTGCATGAACATGCATGTGCAGTGAGGGTGGGGAAGAGAGAGAAAGAGTGGC